AATTATGGGTATGCCGCTAGGGAAGTCAGAAATAGAGAAGGATTTGGGGGTCATTGTAGACCACAAACTGAAAGGTAGCTTGCAGTGCCAGGCTGCTGTAAACAAAGCTAGCAGGGTCTTGTCCTGTATTAAGAAGGGGATGTATTGCAGGGACAAGTCTATAATTTTGCCACTTTATAGATCATTGGTTCGACCTCATCTGGAGTATGCGGTCCAGTTCTGGTCACCAGTACTAAGAAAAGATGTCCTTGAGCAGGAAAAAGTCCAGCGGAGGGCAACCAAACTAATTAGGGGTATGGAGGACCAGAGCTATGAGACGAGGCTACTAAATTTAAACATGTTCACATTGGAGGTGAGGAGATTAAGGGGGGATATGATTTCCATGTACAAGATGTTCAATGGTGGCAGCAACATTAGCGACAAACTATTTAAAGTTAACTCCATTACAAAAACTAGAGGCCACCACCTAAAATTGGTGGAAAAAAAATTCCGGCACAAGGGGCGAAGGGGGTTCTTCACAGTTAGAGCGGTTAGGGTCTGGAACTCTCTGCCGCAGGCAGTGATTTCAGCTAAGAGTGTGGAATTGTTCAAGAAACTTTTGGACCATTTCCTAAGGGACCGTAATATACATTGGTACAAGTACTCCTAAGAATGAGATCCTATAGGTTGGACTTGATGGACTAATGTCTTTATTCAACCTCAAATACTATGTAACTATGTAACTTTACTCATTCAGTATTGGGATTCAATAGGGTGGATTTACTAAAGGCAAATAGGCTGTTCGCTTTGAAAGGTAGGTTGCAGTTTACAAAGGATTTTTCCACTTAGCTTAGTGAATGTAGGGTAATTTCACTTTGCAAAGAATACCCAATCACCTGCAATGGAATTAAAAAAAAAAGACAGTATTTTTGCTGGCACATGTTTGGATAATGAATAAAGTCAGCAGAGCTTTGGGAAAATTCCTTTGCAAAGTGAAAAGCCTATTTACCTTTTGTAAATCAACCCCATATTGTTCTTTGCTTTAACATTAACATGCTTTTGATCTTTATGAAGTGTTGGTGTACAGTGTTTACTTCATTCTGTCTTTTAGCAATGGTCACCATTGACAATGGATTTACTAGCTGAACATTTGAATGATGTTGTTTACATTATCTAGACAAAAGTAATTGATGACAGGTTTACGGCAGGGGACATTACCGTACAATTTTTTTATTGTATTTTTTGTACTGGTATTAAAGGACTTTTTCTAATGTGCCTGTGTATTTATTTACATTTAACTCTTCATTGCAATGGGGACTAAGGGTTAACAATGACCCCCTGTACTCCCCTGGGAGATCGCAGATATCTGGGGTCCTCCTTATAAAGGGGGAGGTTCTAGATTC